CCATGTGTGTGGTTTGAGTGATTAAGGGATCTAAATTGTCAAATAAATCTAGATATTGCCTGTAGACTTTAGCATTTGCGCCCGGTGGAATATAAGTTGAATTAATAATGACTGTGGTTCCGTGTAGTTTAAGTTTTACAAAAATTGTTTCCAAAGGTGAGTTAATTGATATAAGTGAAGATATGATATTTTTATTTACAGCAATGAGAACACCTCCTCCGCGTTGTTTTCCTGTTAAAGTTTTATCCCTATCCTTTCTATATACTATGTAATTGCAACTAAATAGTTCTCCATTTTTAATGTCTTCTGATAGCCAAGTTTCCCTCAAGATAACAACATCATACTCTTCTGCAGACAAGTTTTTGCTAAACTCCGAGACCTTGGTGCGGAGTCCCCTGACGTTCTGATAATAAATATTTAAAAACATATAGCGTTGCGAGAAACGTAAAAAATATGTAGAAGATGAAAATTAAGTACAAAAACAATATGTATATGTTGATATTGAGCTAGCGCATATAAATGTGTTATTCTAAGAACGTTTTCTCGGCCCCAGCAATTTAAATATATAAAAAAATCTGTAAAATATGTGGCAAATTAGTTAAGTAAATAAATTTAGTAACAAATAGAGCGCAAGTAGATACCCAAGTTGCTGAGAGAAAAGAATAACAATAAATAATTTTATTCTAAAGTAAATACCAAAGAACAAAAATTAAATAAATATTTTTATCCTTCAATTATTGATTATAATGGATCCTGCTACTTTACTACATATTAATGAAAGCAAGAAATAAAAATAAATGTTTACGAGTAGATATATATCTACTTCGTATTCAAAAATATCTAGAGTTTATAAAAACTTAAAAACAATAATTTAGAAATAGGTATTAAAATAAAAATGTATTCCACAATAATTAAGAACAAAGTTTAGCAAATAATATTCGCGAGGAAAGGTCATTAGAAACGAAATAATCTTGTTACAAGTGAAGGAAGTCTAGTATCAATATGGCCGATGTAATGACACTTTTGACCACGTGATTGTGTATCATTCCCTATTTTACCTCAATGTGTGTGTATGTATTTCTGTTTGGCACTAGTTTCAAAACCAACTGGCCAGTGAATCTTTAATTAATTTTAATAATGCTTATTTTGTGTTAATTCAATTTTAAGTTCTATCCTTACAATATTTCACAGTTCACATTTTATTTAAATAATACAAATTTCTCTAAATACATTAATAAGAAGTAAGTCTTATAATAAGTTTTTTCTAGCTCATGTTTTTTGCTTGTTTTTGATTTTTTCGCCTGTTTTAATATGAAAGATGCAGTTAGACCTTTATATAGAAAAAATAACTACCTACTGCAATCACCCTGTGTTCGAGTTCAAAGATAACTTTTAATTAGTATATTATTCCTCAGAGTATATACCTAATTTTCCTTTTTTTGTTTATCAATTTTGAAATCGTTTTCGAGTAGCGATAACGTGCCATATTTGCAATTAGATTGAAAAACATACAAACTCACTGAGATAGTTATCAGATATTATAATGAAGCCCTACCTATATTAGCAAACTTGGATTTAGCTGCGGAAGGAAACAAATGTATCCTTGGGGACAAGCAGCAAAAATGTAATACATGTGTATTGATTTCAAAAATTATGTCGTGTTTCATTTTTAAATTTTTAATAATTAACTATTCATTATATATATAAATGTTAATTGTGATTTGAAAAACTAGTAAATGAAAAATACTAAATTAATAAAACCAATTAGTTCAATTAAAAGGAAAAATGAATTATATAGATCCTACAAACAAAAATTGAATAATATGAAAATAAAAAGTAGCAATAAATAATGTGTGCATTTACATTTACAATCAATCACTATTATTTGGGAAATCCTATATTATCAATGAATCTATCAGTTTCTAAAATAAAAAAAAAGGGAATTCATTTGAGGAAAATGTAAAAAAACGAGTTCTGTGCCAAACCCATTGTCCAAACAGGTTTTTTTTTCTTTGATAAATTATTCTCTAAATGAGGCAATCCTTTTTCTGGGGTCCTCTGTAATATCGAATTTACGCCCCAAAATGATGAAATAAAAAAAAACTCGAAGTGTGTACACGTAAGTAATTGTCTCATCCATCTTTCGGTTTAAGTTGACAAGTCGAATTCGTCTGCAATGTTAAATTACCTAGACCCTTTCAGTAGTGTATTGTTTACATTTCTCAACTTGACAACAATGATGTATTTGCAGAACTAATAATATAAATGGAAAAGTGCCCCAGTTGGGAGGTTTCGGGGGGTCGAATCGTTGATAAAAATTATGTAGTAGGTATATCCATGATTTTATATATTTTCGGCAGTTACTTGAAAATAAAATAGAAAATATTTAATAAATACCTTTAGAGAAAGAAAGCATTTAAAGGGACTAAATTGTCACTAACAGTTTTTCCGCTCTTTAAGAAAACGTACATGTATTTCCAAATTATGACATTACTTCAGTAATTCCGCCAATTCTTGGAAATACCAAAGTAATTCCAAAGTAAAACCAGTGTAATACCAAAGTATAACTAAAATAAAAAAAATGTAATACCAAAGTAATAACAAAGTATTACAAAAGTATTACAAAAGTATTACAAAAGTATTACAAAAGTATTACAAAAGTATTACAAAAGTATTACAAAAGTATTACAAAAGTATTACAAAAGTATTACAAAAGTATTGCAAAAGTATTACAAAAGTATTACAAAAGTATTACAAAAGTATTACAAAAGTATTACAAAAGTATTACAAAAGTATTACAAAAGTATTACAAAAGTATTACAAAAGTATTACAAAAGTATTACAAAAGTATTACAAAAGTATTACAAAAGTATTACAAAAGTATTACAAAAGTATTACAAAAGTATTACAAAAGTATTACAAAATTATTACAAAAGTATTACAAAAGTATTACAAAAGTATTACAAAATTATTACAAAAGTATTACAAAAGTATTACAAAAGTATTACAAAAGTATTACAACAGTATTACAAAAGTATTACAAAAGTATTACAAAAGTATTACAAAAGTATTACAAAAGTATTACAAACGTATTACAAAAGTATTACAAAAGTATTACAAAAGTATTACAAAAGTATTACAAAAGTATTACAAAAGTATTACAAAAGTATTACAAAAGTATTACAAAAGTATTACAAAAGTATTACAAAAGTATTACAAAAGTATTACAAAAGTATTACAAACGTATTACAAAAGTATTACAAAAGTATTACAAAAGTATTACAAAAGTATTACAAAAGTATTACAAAAGTATTACAAAAGTATTACAAAAGTATTACAAAGGTATTACAAAAGTATTACAAAAGTATTACAAAAGTATTACAAAAGTATAACAAAAGTATTACAAAAGTATTACAAAAGTATTACAAAAGTATTACAAAAGTATTACAAAAGTATTACAAAAGTATTACAAAATTATTACAAAAGTATTACAAAAGTATTACAAAAGTATTACAAAAGTATTACAAAAGTAATACCAAAGTATTACAAAAGTATTACAAAAGTAATACCAAAGTAGTATCAAAGAATTACCAAAGTAATACCAAAGTAGTATCAAAGTAATGCCAAAGCAATATCAGGTAACACCAGGCAATACCAAGATAGTACTAGATAATACCGAGTAATATTAGTAATTTCATGTAATTATTGGTAGTGCCAAGTAATGTTAGGCCTAGTACTGAAAATATATTTAGAAGCAATTGATAATGATAGAAGTAAAATGGAACTTTCCCAACAAAATAGTGTAGCAAGGTCACAGAATGAAGACGTATGGTACAATGTACAATGCTCTTAAACAAACTTAAATAGAGAGGAATATTCTTACTGATTAGCTGCAGTTCCTCCAAATTCAGATAGATAAAATCATGGAAACAATAAATGGTGAATTAAACAAAAAGTCTTCAGAAATAGAAGAAAGTATGGCCAGCACTATGAACCATGCAACTAACTCCACTAAAAATTTTATTGATAAAGAAGATCTGACAAAGGATAATGCGTTTACTACGGCAAAGGGTGTAAGGGATGTAAAATAGCCAAGGAATTTCAAAAAATTAAAAATAATAGCATAGCAAAATAATAAAACTAACCAGCTGCAGCGAGTAATCAAACATGTGCATATTAATTGAAACAATCTAATAGACCAATTTAGATCATTCAGCCAGACCGGAAAGAAAAAATAGATAACAGTCAAGATTTGTCTATTGCTAATACTCTTCACTAAATTCTATTGGAAAAGCTGAATATAATGGATGAATGAATTACTAGGTTGAAATATAGTACCGAACGAGCTATACCTAAGAGACAATATAGTAATAATGGAAAAGATTGCTGTAGAGCCAACAATAATTAAATGCAATCCTAGACACAGAAAACATGCTTAATGCATGCTTAATTTCAAAGGCTCACTTTACCAATGAGTACTTTGTTAGATTTAAGGTAGGGGAGAGGAGGGACATTGAGACACTACAAATATAATTAGCTGTGTAGGTATAGCTTGGCTTTCAATATATTGATCACATAATATTATGTTGTTGCCACTGATAAATGTACTATCTATCACCATAGGTTTAGCGATTATTCTCTGATCGATGAATTAGATTTTTGCAGTTTTCCAAAGTATCCAAATTGACCAAATGTACCCCTTGGCAGCGGGTAGATTTGGACAGTGTAGGAGCAGGTGTGGACAAAATCAATTTGTTGTTCTAAAAGTTTTAGTCATATTTATGTGGTCAATAAAGCTGGAACAATCTAACACAAGTCGCATAATTAGTAAAAAATGTAAAAAGGCATAGTTAAACACAAATTTTCATTTAGTTTAGTTGACGTTATAGGCACCGAAGTCTACTTGAAACCGCTTTATTGAACTTGACCTTGCAGTTGGTTTGGACGTTCTTAGCTTATGTAGTTTTAGTTCCACTTGTTCCAATTCTATTAGGTCCTTATCAATGACTTAGAAAATTTGTTAAATATTTTCCGTCGACTATTTCTTCCACTTCTCCAACATAATACTTTTGAGTCTTCTTCATGCAATACTTTACCAGCAAAAAGTCACCGATTTCGATATTTGGCGTCACAGATTCAGGATCTATGATAGGTTCTACGTCTTGCATGAATTTTTGGTCGGAATTTTCACGGTCCATTTCACTTAAACAGTCATATTCATCATCAGCGTAGATTGCTTCATCCCCGGAATCATCTGAATCATTTGCTTGTTGCTTTACATTATCAACCAGATTCTGTTTCACTTGCTTTTTCTTTTGCTTGGCTATCTTTTCTTCTTGTAGTCTATCTTTTTTGGCGTCTCTCTTACAATTCGTGATTTTCCAGGCCGTCTTCCTTTTAACTTTAATTTCGTTTTCTCTGCTTTGGGGTAGGGTCGTATTATGTCTGGCGAAATGACTTCAGGCTGTAATGAAGTTGATGGAGTGCTAATTAATCCATTTAAAATAACGGTAAAAGGTCGAGAAACGCCGCACTTGACGAGACCACTTGTCCCCTACGTATTTTGGGGCACTGATTACGAAAATGGGGGTTAAAACTTGCAGCAATGGTTGAACCACCCCTAAAATTGCAAAAAAAATACCCCTAAGTTGGAATGTTTTTAACTATACTTGTTGTTTTGCAAACTAACTCATCTTATACGTTTTTTGGGTCGCTGATTTTAAAAATCGGGGTGTCGAGACTGAAAAATTTGTGTGACACCTCCCATATGCCAGAAACACCCCCCATATGCCAGAAACACCCCTTCCAACCGATGGATTTTGGTGGAAAATGAAATATAAAATACAAAAACTGAAAATGGAATATATTTTTATTAATAGATATGAAATGTGACAAGTATCAAAGTTCTTACAAGATATCACTATTCAGTTGTATTCAAATCTAGACTTGGTATTTTGCAATTTTAGGGGTGATTCAACCGTTGCTGTAAGTTTTAACTCCGATTTTTGTAATCAGCGCCCCAAAAAACATATAAGATGGCTTAGTTTGCAAAACAACAAGTACAGTCAAAAAACACCCCTATTTGGGGGTGTTTTTTTTGCAATTTTAGGGGTGTTCCAATCATTGCTGTCAGTTTTAACCATCATTTTCGTAATCAGCGCCCCAAAATACGTAGGGGACAAGTGGTCTCGTCAAGTGCGGCGTTTCTCGACCTTTTACCGTTATTTTAAATGGACTAAATTACCAGCGCAGATGTTTATGGTACATACATTTGATGAAGTGCTAGTGAATAGCGCAATGGAGCCCTTGATTCTGTTACAGATGCAGCAGCGAAGTCATCTTCCTTAAAAATGCCTTTATCAAAACACACAATATCGCTTTTTCTAAACCCAGAACATATATTGACCAGTGTAAAAGCTTTCTGATATGCTTTTTCTGTCAGTTTGGCAATTTCATAGATGGTACCCTTTTGTCAGAATGATTTACGAATTCATATGATTCTCCTATTGTTCTCACTCTTTCTCCCCGAATACTTGATTTGAATCTTTTACTTTTCATATATACTTTGTATCTAATTTGTATTTATTCTCAGAAAAAAATTACCCATTTATATACCCGCCACTGTTCGTACACCCCTTTATAGGTCACTTATGTTTGTCTTTAATACTCTTAATAAGGTGCGAATGATCTGAAAAGTATCACTAAGAATCGCTTATATTTCTCGCGTATAGTGACAAACCAAGCACACCTACATGGTTCGACCGGTGATGGGTTCAATTGAAAACCGTTACGTTTCCACCATTAGTGAAATGCTGGAAACCAGACGAAAATTGAAAGGGATAAAAGGCGGTAAACAAGTTAGAAAATATTGCAGGGAATACTGCGAGTATAGCGGTATCCATGGACTGAGATATTTCGGCGAAAAAAGAACTATTTTTGAAAAGTAAGTTAAATTTTAAATTTGGTTATTTATTGTATCGTAATAAAAAATGACGCCGGTAAAGTCCAATTACAATTAAAAGAACACCGCTACGTCATTACCATTACTTGGAATTTGGAATAGATATTATCTATATCTATTAATAAATAAAAAATAGGTAAGTTGTTAGGTATAAAACAAAATTTTCAATATTTCTATAATATTAACACTTCACTAACCAATTAATTACTTTGCCAAATGATGACGTAACTGTGTTCTTCTAATTATTGTAATCAGACCCTAAATAATAAAGATTTCAGACGTACGAGGATATATCAGTATATAACGAGACTGGTGCTATAACTTCTTTCAGAGGTAACATTTTATAACCCAAAAAATGAGACATGAAAGCCTTATATTTAATGTACTACCCCGCAAGTAGGCTTTGATTTAACTTTTGATATTTGTTACAAATTAATTATTGAATTGTCAGTGTTTTGCGTACCCATCGAAAAATGAAAGTGGAGCAAAGATACGCGATAAAATTTTGTGTTCGATTGGGTAAAACACCAACTGAAACTTTTGAAATGATTAAAGGTGCATATCTAGATAATAGTTTATCACGATGTAGAGTGTTTGAGTGGCATAAAAAGTTTAAAGACGGTTGTGAATCAGTCGAAGATGAGCCTCGTCCCGGTCGACCACAAACTGCGAGAAATGACACAAAAATTGCAGAAATTAACGACTTGATACAAAATGATCGCCGGATTGGCATAAAACGAATTTCTGACAATGTTAATTTGTCTTACGGTACCACTCAAAAAATTATTCATGAAGATTTAGAGTACCGGAAGATCGCGGCAAGATGGATTCCAAAAGTGATGACCGATGAACAAAAAGCGAATCGAGTGACAATTTGTCAGCAGTGGAAAAGGCAATTGCAACGTAACCCACAGTTTTTAAATAATGTGGTTTTATCATTACGATCCTGAATTGAAGTCTCAAAGTATGCAATGGAAGCATAAAGGCAGCCCAAGACCGCAGAAGGCCAAAACTGCTAAAAGCGCTGGTAAAGTGATGCACCTGATTTTTTTTGGTAAATTTGGCGTTATTTACGATCACATTGTACCTAGAGGACATACAGTAACAGGGTAGTACTATTCTAATGTACTTCGAGGACCTTTAAAGGCAAAATTAAAGAAAAAAAGGCCGCTTTATCAGGACTTTGGCTGGACGCTGCATCACGACAATGCTCTGGCTCATAGATCAATGATTTTTCACGAACAATTGAAGAATTAGGGGTTGAAATTATGGTTCATCCCCCCTACTCTCCTGACCTTGCTCCATGTGACTTCCATTTGTTTCCTGAAGTCAAAAAAGAATTGAGAGGTAGAAGATTTGAATCGGATTTAGAGCTCAACAACGCTGTGATGGGTATACTAAACAGACTATCAAAAAATGGTTTCTCAGAAGTTTATGATAAGTGGATAAAGCGATGGGATAAGTGTATTCAACAGAATGGAGAGTACTTCGAAGGATAGTTGTTGAATTTTTATAAATAAATGTTTCGTTGTTATACTATAGCACCAGTCTCGTTATTTTCTGATACATCCTCGTAAGAACAACGATCGTTAGTAGCTAGGTGGAAAGATTTAATATTATTAACACTGAACTTCAAAACTTTTTGTTCACTAGACTGTGCTGGATAGCGGTCTTCATTACAAGCCTTCTGGTCTGCATAGCCGTGATCTATCAAACTTACAAAAAATGGCAACATCAACCCATCATGGTTAACTTTTCGTCTGACGAGAGAAACATCAACGAAATACCCTTTCCGACTGTAACGATTTGTCAAGAAATTCGAATATCCAGAGGTTATTTCAATTATTCAAATATTCTGAAAAAGATCGTCGATAACGAAAAGGTAGACCCGATAGAGTAAGTTTCCGTTTTGTATTAAATCTTATTATCGCTTTTTCCTTATTGTGTGTTTTTCGTATTAATATGACGACGCTATATACATTTATGGCATTTTTTATTTTAATATATACTGGATGTTTCTTGAAGAAACCGTTATATAGTTCAATGCGTGGCCTTTCAGTTGCACGTCACCAAATATGACGTAATATCATGTTTTCGGCATGTCTCTGATTACTACATAAAATTTGATGACGACTCTACAAAATTTTGACAGTTGTCAGGATCGTATTCAGCCAAATAGGAAAAGGCTTTGAAATTAATAAGAATTGTGATATCAAAACATTACAAAATAAAACAAAATGTATTTTTTAATGATATTTATTATCATAAATAATATAACATTAGTAAATAAATTCCTAAAATTAGTTATTATAAGACAAGGATCACTTGCCGGATGAAACCTACAAAAAGAAATTAGATCTGTTTAAAAAATCACAAAAGTTTTATTCGATAAACTAATTACCTTGACAATCATGTGTGTGTGTGTGTGTGTGTGTGTGTGTGTGTGTGTGTGTGTGTGTGTGTGTGTGTGTGTGTGTGTGTGTGTGTGTGTGTGTGTGCGTGCGTGCGTGCGTGCGTGCGTGCGTGCGTGCGTGTATGTGTGTGTGTGTGTGTGTGTGTGTGTGTGTGTGTGTGTGTGTGTGTGTGTGTGTGTGTGTGTGTGTGTGTGTGTGTGTGTGTGTGTGTGTGTGTGTGTGTGTGTGTGTGTGTGTGTGTGTGTGTGTGTGTGTGTGTGTGTGTGTGTGTGTGTGTGTGTGTGTGTGTGTGTGTGTGTGTGTGTGTGTGTGTGTGTGTGTGTGTGTGTGTGTGTGTGTGTGTGTGTGTGTGTGTGTGTGTGTGTGTGTGTGTGTGTGTGTGTGTGTGTGTGTGTGTGTGTGTGTGGGTGTGCATGTGCGTGTGCGTGTGCGTGTGCGTGTGCGTGTGCGTGTGCGTGTGCGTGTGCGTGTGCGTGTGCGTGTGCGTGTGCGTGTGCGTGTGCGTGTGCGTGTGCGTGTGCGTGTGCGTGTGCGTGTGCGTGTGCGTGTGCGTGTGCGTGTGCGTGTGCGTGTGCGTGTGCGTGTGCGTGTGCGTGTGCGTGTGCGTGTGCGTGTGCGTGTGCGTGTGCGTGTGCGTGTGCGTGTGCGTGTGCGTGTGCGTGTGCGTGTGCGTGTGCGTGTGCGTGTGCGTGTGCGTGTGCGTGTGCGTGTGCGTGTGCGTGTGTGTGTGTAACGCATAACTCATGAACCGATACACGGAAAAACACCAAATTTCAAACTTAAGCTTTGTTCCAGCATCTAATGAGCTGATTAGATTTTAGGCAGAGTCGGAACATCTGGGGGGGTACTTTATAGGTGGTCATTTTTATATTTTATGGAATATATCTGTTATTTACGTTTGGGGAAGAAAATTCTTTAAATAAAAGTTACTTCTTATTTTATTATCTATAATTTTTGTTATATACCAAATTTTCCTAAAATGGTCCGTATTCGAGAAATTTGAGAAAATGTAAAAAAATATTTTTTTTTATAAAAATTGTTCAAACAAAAGTTGTTTATAATATAATTCTCTATAATTTTTATCCCATAAATAATTTCTCTAAAATGGACCGTATTCGAGATATTTAAGAAAATGTGTAAATTTCGAAATTTGAAGAAAACTCAAAAACGGATAAAGAAAAAATCAATAAATTTTAAACTTAAGTTTTATTTAGGCTTGACGTGAAATGATTAGATTTTGGACAAAGTCGGAACATCTGGGGGGTACTTTATGGGAGACCGTTTTTATATTTTATGGAATATATCTGTTATTTATGTTTGGAGAAAAAAATTGTTCAAATAAAAGTTACTTCTAATATTATTATCTACAATTTTTGTTTTATGTCAAAATTTCCTGAAATAGTCCGTATTCGAGAAATTTGACAAAATGTGCAAAATTCTGATTTTTATGAAAATTGTTGAACTAAAAGTTGTTTGCGATATCGATCTCTATAATTTTTGTTTTTACATGATTTTTCTAAAATGGGCCGTATTGGAAAAATTGTGCTAAATTTAAATTTTTCAATATTTCCGTTTTTAATGAATATCTATAGAAAAATGTTTCGAGGTAGATGTATGGGGAAAATGTATATATTTAGTTTATCCTCTAAACATTTATAGAAGTGCTGCAATAGGTTGTACAAAATAACCGGAAAAAGCTCATAATAGCTAGATAGGAAAGTCATGTGTTGAGCACATCAGATTTTTTTAATTACTAAAATATATTTTTCTTTTAATTATAGCATATCATTTCTATCTTCAGAGTATACTTCTAGATTTTCATTTGACCAAGTTTTTGTGTTATGACTTAAAAATTCAGGATCTTTAAATCATCTTCTTTGAATACTTAAATTTCTGTTCCTTTTGTCTCTCGTTGCCTCATCTACAACATTCAAATTTTTTGGAATCCAATTTTCTATACTAGAGTTTTCTTAAATTTCTCCTATTCTGTTTAAACTTCCTTGCATTAGATTATATCGGATACAAAACTATTCTAGAATCCGTCCAAAGGTATATTTTGGAAATTGTTAAAGAATGTTGTTTTACTATAGTATTTGCAAAACGTGAACCAAAAAACTGTGGCTTGTAATTCTAGATGAAGTATTTTTTTTTTGTTGTGTCGTCGGCTTCAACTACCAAGGTTATTTCGCCTCGTGTTCTGTGTAGGCTTTGTTACTGTTTCCCAGCACTACTTTAGGAACAGCACTGTTAATTAGAACCCAACAGTGAATGGTCAAGTAGGTAATTGACTTTAATGGTACTACTTGTGTCCTAGGCATAACAAAGGATACTTTAATTATTCATCTCGAAACGCAAATATCCTACTGCTACAAACGCAGCCTGCATGTATTTTATGTATCTTTAGCAACCTATAAATATTTACCTTTTTTGGCAGTTAGACAAAAAAACTTATAAAACACTTCGTACAAAAAAAACAATTAAAAATTGTAAGAACCAAATTTAATCAATTAACTTTAAAATACTTTTTATATTGTATTTTTAGTTTGTTACGACTACAGTATATGTCATTACTTTGTGCTGATGGTAAAATTTTTAAGGACAAGATTCCAAATGTGACTACGATTGACGAAGATTTCTACGAATTTCTCGCCAAAGTAAGTTTACGCCATTTTTCTCTTTAAATCACTAAAATTTAAGATCAAATTTTATTAAATTAATTATTCTGTTATTATAGGGTACCAAACCATTTTTAAAAGCATGCGCTTGGATGGGCACAAAGCTTGAATGCAATCAAATTTTTCGACCAATTATTACAGATGAAGGACTTTGTTATACGTTCAACATGTTGGAAAACGAAGACATATTTAGTGATGTATCGTAAGTATCTAAAACATTGTTAATTTTCTTTTATCTCTATTTGTAATGTGGTGATTGCGCATCCTCCTGTATAAAGATAGATCATTAATAAAAATAACGAACAACAGAGGGCCCAAGTTAAAACCTTGTGGCACACCAGAATTCAATTAGTTTGGATGGCAAATACAAATTAACTATCTAACTAACCTAAACCTCTTACTTACTAAATAATTTTCTTCTAATTCAATCTTTTCTTAGGTACATTCCAGATTTTAATCACAATCGTTCTATTTTATACCCCAGTGTTAAGAATTGGTCTATTGATAACGGTTATTCAGCAGAAGCTCAGGTACATACTTACCCTAGAAGAGCTCTGCTTGCTGGTTACACTAACGCTCTAGTGGTAAATATGAAGATAAACGTCGCAGACATAGATTATGCTTGTACTAGTTTTCAAGGTTATCAAGTAGGTATGCGAAAAAATAAAATAATACAGTTTTTTTTATATAAAATTTACTTTTAGGTAGTTCTGCACCAATCCATTAGGTATCCGATCGTCCAAATTCACTATTTTCGTGTACCATTAAGGAAAGCCGTAATTGTGGCTATTACACCCACACAAATGATGAATTCCGAGGAAGTGAACGATTACAGTATCGACAAGAGGGAATGCCTTCTTCAGGGAGAAAAGAAACTCAAGTTTTTCCGGAATTATACTCAAAATAATTGCGAATTGGAATGCGTAGCTAATATGACGCTGATTAAGTGTGGATGCGTTGCGTTTTACATGCCCAGTAAGTATGAAAATAAGAACAATTTAAAGGTATAAGTACTGAATTTGTTTATGTTTTGTTACACAATAGTTATAGATTGACATACATTTTTTAATTGTAATGACGTAATGACATAAATTAAAATAAAAAGATCTTTACAAAAACATACCACATATTCCTTAGACCAAAATAAGTCGATATAAGTAAAATTACCTTAGTAAAAAAGTTGCTTCGTTTGGGCTCCAGAGGGCCTTGAAGTTACAATTTTTAAATCGTTTTTCCCATATAAATTTAAAACGGCATATGCGATTTTGCTGAAATTTGGTATATTGGTAGAGTTTTATGTGGCAAAAAAAATGTTATTAAAATTTTGTCCGATAATAATACATAGGCGTAGAACTTGATTTTTTAAATAATTGCACCTTTAAAAATTCTACGCCAATAGAAAAAAAGGAGTTTGAGTATAAAATTTAGATTGCGCAACTCATTTACTTTAAAAAAGGTACTCTTGATAAGACTCGATTACTCTCATGGTTTTGACGAAATTTGCATTTTAGTAATTTTAGAACATAAACAATAATTATTAAAATACAAACTTTGTCAAAACCATGAGAGTAAATCGAGTGTTATCAAGGGTACTTTTTCGTAGTACATGAGTACCCAATCCAAATTTCATACTCAAACCCCTTTTTTGCCATTGGCGTAGAATTTTTAAAGGTGCAATTATTTAAAAAATCAAGTTCTACGCCTATGTATTATTGTCGGACAAAATTTTATACGATGAAAAACATAAAAATGTACTTTTTTCATATCTTCTTCAACAACTCAATTCGAGACTTTTAACAAAAATACTCGATTCTTGCCATGTACGATTTTTTGAGGAATATTAATTATTTGCCTGCAATACGTATACAAAAACATTTGTCCACGACAACTTAATAATAAATCAATATTCTACCTCCTAAGAGCATATAGTACCCATATATCACGGAGTGAATTTTGATAATTCACGCTTTTGTAATTCTGGCACATTCCGATAGATAACTAAAGATAGGCGATAATTTTAATAACGAAATTTACTAGATCGAAAAATCGAAAAATCAAAAAATCAAAAAATCAAAAAATCAAAAAATCAAAAAATCAAAAAATCAAAAAATCAAAAAATCAAAAAATCAAAAAATCAAAAAATCAAAAAATCAAAAAATCAAAAAATCAAAAAATCAAAAAATCAAAAAATCAAAAAATCAAAAAATCAAAAAATCAAAAAATCAAAAAATCAAAAAATCAAAAAATCAAAAAATCAAAAAATCAAAAAATCAAAAAATCAAAAAATCAAAAAATCAAAAAATCAAAAAATCAAAAAATCAAAAAATCAAAAAATCAAAAAATCAAAAAATCAAAAAATCAAAAAATCAAAAAATCAAAAAATCAAAAAATCAAAAAATCAAAAAATCAAAAAATCAAAAAATCAAAAAATCAAAAAATCAAAAAATCAAAAAATCAAAAAATCAAAAAATCAAAAAATCAAAAAATCAAAAAATCAAAAAATCAAAAAATCAAAAAATCAAAAAATCAAAAAATCAAAAAATCAAAAAATCAAAAAATCAAAAAATCAAAAAATCAAAAAATCAAAAAATCAAAAAATCAAAAAATCAAAAAATCAAAAAATCAAAAAATCAAAAAATCAAAAAATCAAAAAATCGAAAAATAAAAAAATCGAAAAATCGAAAAAAAAAATAGAAAAATCGAAAAAATTTGAAAAATCGAAAAATCGAAAAATCGAAAAAAAATTGAAAAATCGAAAAAAAATCAAAAAATCGAAAAATCGAAAAAAATCGAAAAAAATCGAAAAAATCGGAAAAAATCGAAAAATAAAAAAAAAACGAAAAATCGAAAAATCAAAAAAAAATCGAAAAATCAAAAAAAAATCGAAAAATCAAAAAAAATCGAAAAATCGAAAAAAAAATCGAAAAAAAAATCGAGAAAAAAATCGAAAAAAAAATCGATTAAAACGAAAAATCGAAAGGTCGAAAAAACAACAGTTAGTTACCTATGTTTAATAAAAACTTTCCATTCACACTTAACTTTTATTTAATAAAGAAACCATAATGGTCGTGGACAAAGTATAGTATTAGACTCGCAATAATGGCTACCATAAATTGCTCGTTTAATAATATACTATTATTGTTGGTTTCCATAGTTTCATCTAAATAAAAATATTGTCAAGTTTTAACACGTAATCTCTTGTTAACGATTGAAAGTGTTCTATCTGACTCAATAATTAAAAAAACAAATGAGTGGTTTATTAATATGGCTGTACAATATACCAATGCAGAATATACCGATATGTTACTGACATTAGGATTTTATGAAGGAAATGCTCGAGAGAGTGTCAGGGTGTACTCTGAAAGGTTTCCAAATCGTCGTGTACCTAGCCACCCAACTTTTGCTGCTGTTAAGAGACGTCTTCGGGAGACCGGTTCCTTTGCTCCCAACACTATTGATAATGGAAGAAAACGTTTTGTAAGGATTCCTGAAGTAGAAAAAGACATTTTAGAACATATTGAAGAAGATCCAGAATTAAGCACCAGACGAATTGGAAGGGAACTAGGAGTAAGTTAAGATGTCAGTGCTTAGAGAACAATTGTTATATCCATACCATAAGAAGCCAGTACAAGAATTATTAGTCCATGATCCTCAAATTCGTTTGGGTTTTTGTTGATTTGTTAATATGCAAAGAGAAAGAGATCCAAACTTTGTCAAGAAGGTTCTCTTTACCGATGAAGCGTGTTTTACAAGAAGAGGTATAACTAATACCCTTAATGAACATGTTTATGCCGTTGAAAATCCGCATGCAATTAAGGTAAACCATTTTCAGCATGAATTCAAAATTAATGTGTGGGCTGGAATAATTGGTAATTTCATTGTTGGTCCTGTCATACTTCCACGAAGATTAACTGGAGAAAATTATTTGGATGTTCTACAAAATACGTTGCCAGAATTGTTAGAAGATTTACCTCTCCAACTTTGGAGAGATATGTGGTTTATGCAAGATGGAGCTCTACCACATTTTTCTTTAAACGTTAGAAACCACTTGAATGAACAATATCCACACAAATGGATAGGCAGGGGTAATGACGCACTTGTAAACTGGCCACCACGTTCCCCAGACCTAACACCGATGGATTACTTTTTATGGGGACATCTGAAATCCACAGTTTACAGGAAACCTGTAGAAAATGAGGAACAACTCTGGAAACGTATTCAAGATGCAATAAACAATCTTAGAGGTGATGAAGAAGTTATGGAAAGGATACATTTTAATTTTCTTCGACGTATAAATCTTTGTATGCGTGAAAATGGTGAACATTTTGAACAATTTTTGTAAAATCTCTATTTTGATTATGTTGTAAATAAATATTTTTGTGAAACCTATACACTCTAAATTATTAAAATAGAAATTTAGCGAAAACCATGAGAGTAATCGAGTCTTATCAAGAGTACTTTTTTTAAAGTAAATGAGTTGTGCAATCTAAATTTTATACTCAAACTCCTTTTTATCCATTGGCATAGAATTTTTAAAGGTGCAATTATTTAAAAAATCAAGTTCTACGCCTATGTATTATTATTGGACAAAATTTTAGTACCATTTTTTTGCCACATAAAACTCTACCAATATACCAAATTTCATAAAAATCGCATATGCCGTTTCAAATTTATATGGGAAAAACCATTTAAAAATTGTAACTTCAAGGCCATCTGGAGCCCAAACGAAGCAACTTTGTACTTAGGTAATTTTACTTAAATCGACTTATTTTGGTCTAAGGAATATGTGGTATGTTTTTGTAAAGACCTTTTACAGATATAATAATTAATCTATTGCAATTGTAATGAAAAAACAACCCTGTTCCGCTTGGTTGGGTCACACTAACTATGTCACTTTTAGTAGATTTCTACTTTTTTCGTATATTTTCAGCTTTTTCGACTAGTTTTATTAGATTTTTTTATCGATAACTTAAAAATTGGCTCTCAAATAATTAACACGCCGTAGACATCTACGCTAGGGTAGTTAATTGTTAGTTAACATTTCTCCTTTGCCTCGGCAGTCGTTGGTAACCGACACAGAACACTTACTCTTAGAACGGTAACTCCCATGTTAAAAAAGGGTGATAGAATTTTTAGCACCACCTGATGGACGTGGTTGATATTTTTTTCAATTAAGTCCTTATCAGGTAAGAGGCCACATGAAAGAAGAAAAAAAGAATAATAAAAAGAAGAAGAACAGGAAAGCGCGGGGCCATTCAAATTTGACAGTAAAAATTATCCGCATTAAAAACTGTTAGCCAAATTAGGATTTGTTTACACAAACTACATTTTTTGCTTTATTATAGCGACCTATAATAAAGCAAAAATGCAGTTTGTATGAACAAATTTTTAGATAAAAAAAACAAGCTTAATCTAAAAATAAATTTAATAAAACAAATATATAATACAAATCCAATATTTAAAAAATGTAATGTATATGAAAACTGTATTATGTAAGAAGTAGCTAGATGGCTGCTACATATTCCAGAATACAACACTGTCCCTCATTTTGTGAAGAATTTTATCTGTGAACCAAAAAAAACAGTATAAGTACAATCTCATTAAATTAAATATATTAATCAAAAATTATAAGTCCGAGGAATACTTTCCTTTTTGATAAGTCCAGCATCTTCTACGATACAGCTTTGCAACCCCAAACGTCATGAAACAGAAAATACACAGTATAAGTATAAAATAAATGAGTCGAGTACTAACTTTCCTTCTCGAAAAGGATTCCAACATATATGATTATTCTGCTTCATAGCCCAGGAAGGTGACAACTGTTTTCTACTGAAAATAAAATCCTAAAACGAACACCATACTATTTGATCAATAGATCTAAAAAAAACTTTATTTCTTACAAGCCGGGTAAACTTTATTCAACGTGGCAACCGCGCGTTGCGAATTGCGATGACTGCCCGAAGAAGGGGAGACGAGAATATTGCAGCCATAGATAAATTAATATTAATTGATCTATGATTGCATACACCTCGACGGCGTGGGGATACACCTGTAAATTAAACAGGAAGGTGATACAAACACAACAAAACATCATCCTGAAATGGGCCTCAAATGCCTACCGCTATATATCAGAAATAATGTAATTATGAGAAATCTAGAATCCAAAAGGGTTCTAGACCTTATTCACAAGAAGTCCACGGACACCTTCGAAAAACTAAGGACGCACCCTTACATTTAATTACGAGAACTAACAGAGTATGAGAGAGCGGATTATAGGAGACACGCCGGACCATGAAAAGTGCTGGATTATGGCGGCGAGTGACCGAACCACGGAAAGTGTAAAAATTCAAGACGTTCATAGATCATAAAATTTCTCTTCTAACATTCTTTTTCAGCATTCTCTTTCAGAATACGTTACAAGAATACAACACGCGATTCAGACAAGGACTGAGCAATAGACGACAACCCACCTGGGGGAGAAGGTCTTTCTTTGTCGCCAATGGAGACTGGGAGAGCTTTCACAGGTGGCGAACTCTCACAGAATGAGCATACACAAGACAAACAAATGAACGACGAAACAGGGAAATGCCCTCAGCAAATCCTATCTAAATTATGATAGTATGTCATCCGTCACAGCCCTTTAAGAAGGACTGGCATACTAATCAGATGGATTGAACTTGAGGCCCCCTGAGTGAAGTTGTCGGGCGGGGTCGGTGGAGTCGGTGGGGTCAGGAGGGTTTCGATCCAGTAAAACAGGATGGGAACCTACCCGACTTGGGCTCAAGTAAGGTGTGTGTGTGTGTATGATTACAGCATTAGATCGTCAGACATCGAATGATTTTGTTTAACACTGTTTTGCCTTTTAACTTGTAACGCCGATTGTGCTGGCTTTTTTCATTAATATTGATCTTACTATTCTTTAAAATAAAACAATAATTTCAAGAGTGATGTGCATTCTTTTACTATTACTACTACCACCACTACTATACTAATTTTTTTGGGTTTTGTTTTTTTTTTGTATTTATACTACTTCTATTACTACTAATCTGCTGGGAGGAATAGTGTTGGAAATGCTTTAAATGTTAGACCACGATGAGACCCAAATACTTGTAAATTTCTCTTCAAAATGTTTATGACATACTACAAAGGTGGAATAAATTTGTAGTCTTGTTTTAATATTAAATTTAGGACAACGAACAACAAGTGTCCAAATATCAAATAAATCATGTGCAGCGATGCATCTTGTTGTCCACATCAAGGCAATTCAGTACACATTTTCTATTATTAGGCATCTTTATGGAAAAAACACAAAATAACAGCGGAAAACGCACAAAATACCAGCGAAAAAAGCACAAATTAATAATGGAGAAACAAGCTTACAGTGGTCAACTAGATCAATTAAGCAAATTGAAAACACAACTGAATACAATCAAGTCACCAATATAAATGACATTGCTTCCATTTCAGCCAAGACGCCATAATGACACCCGCCACAAAAATCAATATTAACTGGTCATCTATCATTTACACTCCCACCACCCGCCTCACCACACGACTTCAGCGTCATGAGTAGAGGTGGTTGATTTTAATGCTACCCCAGTCTTGCGCATAGGAGTTTCCCCCGCTGGTAACCAATGTGATAGCAGCTAACTAGAAAAACATGAGGGTCACTTATGACTGCTACATATTTTTTACTAGGCTTATTTCAAAATTAGATAGTAACTGGCGACTATCATGAAATGGTTCTTTAGTTTAGCAGTGGTCACTAGTGAACCCCGTTGCGCTTATGATAAATGCTCTAATTCAATTTTTTTTTTTTTAGGAGAAAAAACTTCGCCCATATGCGGTAACGAAAAAACTGAGTGCATTAAAGTAGTAAGAAGTAAGTATATTTATTCAGGAAAAATCAAGTTTTGTAAGTAGATGAAGCCTAATGATTTTGAAAAAAAAATCTGATTGATAATGGGGTTTAAGGGGGGTCTGTTAAACTGTGAAGAATACAATATAGAATGGCAAGCATTATAAATCTTTATTCTAGTTTTTATGTATCTTTACAAAATATTTTATTAAAATTTAAAACTACATTATCCTTGGTATCCCATTTGAAACTGAGACTGCAATAAAATTCAAGATAAAAAGATATGTGATAAATTTCACATATCTTTTAATTTAACACTAAGTGCACTCTATTTAGTTTTTTAAAAAGATTTATTTAATTTAAATTACAACTTTACTTATCAATAACAGATTCTAAACTAAATATAATGAAAGGAAATGCCATACAACCGGTGGCATTACACCTAAGGTGGAATGACACAAACTAATCTAATGTAATAGACAGCAGTTCCAAGGTTCATCCACGAGGTTGTCGACTCATGGTTATTAACTTTATAACTTAACTACTGTTTATAATTTATCATTAACGGCTGTAAAGCAGGCGTTTAATCTATGGATACCCATGTGGAGATCAGTACCAGAAATAAAAAGCACTTGTCAGTATCTCAACTGAAAAAACTGTCTGAATACAATATTAGCAGAAGACTATCACATAAATCATTGACCACCACCTAATTGATCCTGAGAAAATGGCGAGGCAATCAACGCAGTTCAGATGTGTGGATTGTTCTCTATACTGTGCTTAAAGTTGAAAAATAACATAAAATAAGTTGTTTCTTCTATGATATCTCTAGACAATTGGAATCTGTGTATTTTAACCTTAGATTAAAGAGAACGGAGATGTAACATTACACATCACAAAGCACGCATCCTTTAGAGACCCCACGTCAATGTTAGACTTTCAAACCAAATTAGCGCCCCCTTGTGTTTGAAGTAGGAACAAAAATGACAATTGGCGGATGGCGGTAAATTCAAATTATAATTTTTAGTAGTAGATAGTAGTTATAAATTAAATTTTAAATAATTTCCACATAAATTATTTTATAAAATAAAGTATGGAACTAGTAAGTTCGAAACTTTTATTTTACAAAATAATTTAGGTCGATATGCCAAATTTAAGGAATTAATTTGTTATAACGGGTCTAATTTGGAAAGTTGGTTTAACATAGTATTATTAAATAAATATAAGATATATCAATAAATAATAAATAAAACATTTTTAAAAATATGTTTATTAATAACTTAAATAAATATTATTAAAACAAAATAAATACAAATAATATTACATATTTAACGAATACTTACTTGAAGCAAATAGGTATACAATCTCAAACCTTTAAAATGTCAATATATTTAAATGTGAAGTAAAGACTAGGATATTACATAAAGTTATATTTTATAAATATCTTTTTATCTGAGGATAAATGTAATATAGGTATGGGACTAAAAGGTGAATTCTATTCATTCACTGATAAATATTTTTCTTTCAAATAGAGATGGTATATTCTCTTATGTGAAAAATGATTTCGGAATCTAGTCCAGTGATACATTGATTATCAATTAGTTGTACCAGTTTGTCTTTTTATGATGCATGATAAATCAATGTTTTTCTCGAAGTTTTCAACGTAGCACCAAAATTATTGCAAAATACAGTAGGAAATAGAAAACAAAACATCACAATTTTTTCAAATAACTAAGAAGAAACTATAAACAGAAAACAAAAGCCGAAGCCAACAAAAATATCACTAGAATCAGTCCGAAAAATAAGAATAACCAAAAACATAAATATACGTCACTTCTTTTGATTCTTTGGTTAAGTTTTTTACCCACAAAAATTAAAAATGAAGTAAGAAATCATAATTTCACCAGTAGACCCATCTAGAGTTTGGAGTCAATAGCATAAGAAATATCAGTTGTTGGTTTTGACGTTGTCTATTCCAACCTTAAGGAACCCACCACTCTCACTTTTCACAAAAAGAAGTCCGGAGCAGTCAAATCAGGCGACCGTGGAGGCCAATCAACGACCATTTCTTGAAATAACTTGTTGCGAGAGGTCTCGCAGTAATTCCATTGTAATCCTGGCTGCATGCGATGTGGCACCGTCTTGTTAATGTTAATCAAGCCCAAAGCATGCAGTTGTGGCGTCAAAAAGTTTTCAATTATATCACGATATTTATAAGAATATTAGATGAAATACTAAAGTTACGGGAGTTAGTCACTAATAAAATGTTATGTTGTAAACCCCTAAAGAACTCAAAAAAAAATTGTTTACTAAAAAAGTCTAAATTCTTAAAATATTTATTATTTATTATACAATCGAATGAGGTTTCAAAGATATCGAGATCAAAAAATTCGTATCTCTAAATTTAGGAGATACATGCTCGGATAAAAGCAAGCGACCACATACTTTGATTACTATACAGGGCAAGAGAGAGGTCCGATACGCCCAACATAGGGCGCGGCCATTTTGATTCCCATGCCACAGTTTACAGCTAAAGAATCAGATCGCTCACTCTGCGTCGGCACTTTCGATCTCAATGTTCCAGTTTATACACTGCGCAACTCGGATAATACAATATATGACAACCGCCTATAATAAAACAGCAGTCTTCTGCGTATCCTGAATTTGTATCCCTGGAGTGGATGTTATTTTGGAACTTTCAACTGGTCCGAGTGAGCTAACTGATTCTTTAGCAATAAACTGTGACTCCAAAAATAATATTCACTAACACTGACAGCAGCAAGCAAAATATCAGGTGCGTTTTCATCATCCGCTACTGCTTCCGGAATTGTCGGTTTAGTCGTTTTAACCTGTCAGATTAAAACAAGAAAATCTACAATTCCGAAGCAGAAGCGGATGATTAAAACGCACCTATTAAAAATATTGCGCCAAGATGTAGGCAACACGTAATAAGAGGTCAAAATGGCGGAGTTTTCTATCTCCTTTTAAAAGGCACTCAGAAAGCTGCGCAGTGCGACCATTCTCCGTATTGGGCAATCCAAACTGAATGGCTACCAGTGAGTTCTGATGGGTTATGATATGGCAAAATTATGGCAACCCTGTAGGCCTGGTGATTTGACAAGGTCAATGAAATAGATAGTTACATAGATTGATCATCCACATTTTTCAAAATAAACTTAAGCTTATGCCTTGAAGTAAAAATGTAAGCAATTATTTTTTTTTTAATATCTAAAGGCTAAAAATTGGTTTTAAAACACATTTTTGCTAAACCGATTCAAATTAATAAATATTTGTCAGGCAATATGGCCGTTCGTAAACGACCAGCTTTAAACAATCTATATAACTATATATGTATCATTGACCATGTTAATGACAGCATGACAACAGGGTTGCCATATCTAAACTGTCATTACCCACTGGTAGCCATTTGGACAGGTCGTTGGAATGCCTAATAGTAAAAGAAAATCAAAGTATGTGCAAGCGACCGATAGGAGTTGCAAAAATAATCGATTATTTTGTTATTTTTTTTATGAAAATCGATTTATAATTATTAATCGATTATTTTTGATTAATCAAATACTTTCAATAAATTATTTTCGGTTTTTCAAGATAATGGAATAATCGAATATAACAACAAAGTAGATTTATTGAAAATAATTGATTGATTAAATATAATTGAATTTTAATTAGAAAAATCTATTTATCGTTTGATCAGCTTTTTTATTTAATCGATTATGTTCGATTAACTGAATATTATTTTCGATTTTTCAAAGATATTCGAATAATTTATTTAAAAGGAAATATGAAAAAATAGATTATTTGAAAATAATCGTTAATTTTTTTGGATAATCGATTTATCGTAGAATCGGCTTGTTAACTATTTGATTATTTTCAATTAAACGATTATTTTTTAATAATTTTTTTTTTATATTTCAAAGATAATCGAATAATTGATTTTAGAGGAAATACGAAAAAAATAGATTATTTGATAACAATCGATTGATCGAAAATAATCGAATAATTAAAATAAACGATAATTCAGTTTTTTTAATCGATTTATCGGTTAATTGGCTTCTTAATTAATTGATTATTTTAGATATTTCAAAGATAATCGAATAATCGATTTTAAAGAAAATACGAAAAAAATAGATTATTTGATAATAATTGATTGATCGAAAATAATCTATTATTTAAAATATTCGATAATTCGTTTATTATTTTTTAAAAACACCGATTTATAGGTTAATCGGTTTTTTAATTAATAAATTATTTTCGATTAATCAAATAATCGATTTTAAAGGAAATAGATGGTTTCAAAATAATCGATTGATCGAAAATAATCGATTATTTTCAATGACTAATAATTTATTTCGATAATCGTCTACCCCTAGCGATCAAATGACTTTTATTAGGTTTAAATTTTAAAATGTTATCCAGTTTCAGAAATATGCATTTCTAGAGATTTATGTGACATGTCCTCTATATTAATTAAAATTTCTAAAAAAAGAAGCTTTAATATACCTTTTTTTCTGAGGTTACAATACAAAACAGTATTTTCTCATTTTGACAAATTTTTAATATTATGTAAATACCCGTAGAAAAAATCTAATGTCCAACTCACAAGGTTTGATTTGCAGTATTCGCCTGTGCACTTGCTGCTATTATAACAATGACTACCATTCCTAGCTCGATTGACAGTATTTTATTTCCATAAAAGAACTTCTGTCTTCTCTTTACATAAAATGTCGTTGCATCTGTTTGAAATTAAAAAATCATTTTAATCTTATTTTATAATACAAAATTCCATTAAACACCTGTTTAGTAAATTTAATAGTTCATTATGATACTAATAAACGAATGCCGTCCCTGTCACAGAGTTCGGGTCTCCTCCCAGTTCCCCCACTCTGTTAACCTTTCTTTAGAAATTGGCAACTTTCGCGCAGGGTAAACATCGGTCTGTTTATTCTAAGATTTTAAAAAATAAATATATATTTTATAATCATTTGTCTCTGTTATAATGTTTCAGATAATATGAATACCAGGAAACTTGAGTTGTCTATTGATGATAATCGTTATGGAAAAGAGTACAACGAGTGTGGTTGTCAGCCAATGTGCACTTTGTATAATTATGATACTGAGATTACAGAAATTGAATACGATAGACGTAAAGAATACGAATCATTGGGAATAGTAAGTCCTGATGAAAATGGACGGTAAGTAAATTAATATTTTCATCCCTATTTTTGAACTTTTATATTTTCTAATAGAAGTTTTGCAAATAAACATTAATATTATTAATAATCCTACATTAAATTTCAAATAAAACATTTTCTATATCCGAATTCGATATATGGACCCTCTCTGTACGTTCTAAATGTCTTCAGCCACACAACACTCCATAAATACTCTACAACTTCAAATTGAGTCCAACATAGGAGAGTGTAAACAAGTCCACGCAGTCGTTCCATTGCATTTTATTTGATGTTTTGGTTTGGTCAGGAATATATAGAAGAACGTTGTGTGGAAATGTTGAAAAAGAAAAACTTTTCGTACCTAACAGGAAAAACAAACTCGTTGTTATTGAAACTCTGAAGGAGCCGGTTTGTTATACAACGTAAATATTGACTTGTATTTTTGTAATATTCAAAATACTTGAAATATCGACGACAATCATATAAAATTGTGTCATCTTCGAGGTCCTTTTACACTCAAAAAAATGTTTTATAATATGTTTAATACAAATACCGATACACATCATAGATCATTTATGAAGTCACGACCTGAAATATTAAGTTTATTTTTTCTGTTGTTGTTAATAGGAATAATTAATTTTAAATGTATATAACCAATGGAAAATATTGAATTTTTTTATGCATAATAAACATTTTAATAACAATGCTGTAAACATATTGCAAATAGTCATGAAAAATAAAATTGTATACCTACTGTAGATGAATTAAACACCGTCTACACTAGAAAAATACTCCAATATTTTTATAATGATTGATAATTTTATGATTAACAATCAAATTAAAACTATTAAAAACTTTTTTTATTAAATTGCAGCCACGCCTGGTCACAACTGGTAATTTACTTCAAAAGCAGCTACTTCATACCGCATGTAAGAAGCGAACTCTACGGGCATTTGGACTTCTTGGCCAACATCGGAGGCCTTTTGGGACTATTCACTGGATTTTCTCTGCTTTCCCTTTTCGAAATTATCTATTTCGTATCTATCAGGATCATCTGTAACATTAAGTTGTATAAAAGATGGTACGGGGAGCATACGCAGTAAACGTGGTTGTTTCGATGGCATCGGTTTTGGTTTTTACCGTATAAGAATGAGGTGAATTGAATAAAGAAAATAATGAAAATGTTAGTTATGTTTTCTTTTTATTTTATATAAATAAACCTCTCTGGAGATCACAAACCACCATAATATACGTCGCTGCTATTTTGCTCCGGTTCCGATCTAATATTCAATTTAGTTAATGTTTCCAATAATTATTCATGAAATAACAGATCAACTAAAAGAAAAGAAAAAAATGTGTTTTTAAAAGATTGACTATAACTATGTTACGCCAAAAAAAAAACAAAAATAGGTTTTAAGAAATAAATGAGGTACATAAATTTTTATTCAAATAAGTAATATACCTACAAAATAAAACAAAATGTCAAACAAAATAATATGGTTTCCTATCGGCTATAAATACTGTAACTAGACCAGATTCTGGATCTTGCGTAGACCACATTTTTATAAAATCAGATAAAAATTATTTCGATAATATATTAGCTTCGTTCGCGGTAACAATCCTGAACTGATTCAGAATTACTAATTCATACTGTCAGCGCATGCTCGAATCATTATCAATTCTGAATTTTTACCGCGCGCGCAATCCCTATTATATCTCGGTATTTCAGGATAAACAAGCGGTCCAAACCCAATAATTATTTTACCGCGAACGCAGAATAGAACCAATAGTTCAGTTCTTTTTGTTCCGCGAACGCTTTTTAACTACTGCGCCTGCGAAATCGTTACTGTTAGTAATAATTCGGTTCAGGATTGTTACCGCGAACAAAGCTAATATCATCAACTGTAGAAACATTCATTACAGACCACTTTGTAACATTAATACAAATTATGTTTAATAATTGCAATGTTAAACCTAATATTAATGAACATAAAAATTACTACAAACAAATTAATAACAAAAAATTATTCGAACATATATACATATAAATTAGTGTGAATTTATAAATATTGAAAAGATAAATTAACTATTTTAAAGTGCAATATAACAAGCCAGTTAAATGTTACTTCAAAGGAATATGCAATGTCTGATAATATTGACGATTTTGAGAAAGTGAATGTTATTGAAAATGATCATGATTATTTACCAGATCCAGTCTCCTCCTTCTCTAAATATGTAATCACTTACATTTCTGGATATGTTGTTTATTATTTAACAAGTATTAGAAATTAAAAATTTAAAAAAACCGACTTCAAAAACGTGCAGATGCCATCACCACATCTTAACCAAATTTATATGGGACCACCCCTGAGGTACCCCCTTACTAACAAAAAAAGAATCATATAAATCGGACAAGGTGGTAAAGCATTATCGCTAAACATACATAAAAAATGAAGAGCTTGAGGATTTTCTCATGGACCCAATTATTAGATTTTGACTAAATTTATATGGGACCACTCCTGAAGTACCCCCTTTCTAACAAAAAAAGAATCATTGAAATCGGACACCGTGTTAAAGAATAATCGCTGAACATACATAAAAAAAAAAAATATCGCGACGAATTGATAACCTCCTCCTTTTTTGAAGTCGGTTAAAAAAGAAAATCATTTGTAAACAATGTCTAGATGCTTTAATAAGTAAAACTAGAGATTTGCTTCTATTTTCATTCATTGATATAAAGAATAAAAATGGTTTGCAATATCCATCGGAAGATGTAATAAACATTTGTTTAAAATGTAAAAAAATATTAAAAATTATGAAAGACTCTAAGAAAAAAATATCAGTTGATATCATCAGCACATTAGTTTTAAAAGAATTCATAAATATATTATGCAGCACAGTTTGGACCAGTTTGTGTTGGATAATCATAGAATATTATTAATCAAGTGCATAGTTGATAAATATGTTAGTATCCGACTAACATATCTTACTAAAACTAGAGTTAATAAAGCTGCTAGCATAAGACATCAAAACAACAAAATAGTGTTGTTTAAAGGTCAATAAATATTTTTTTAAATAATAAAAAATTTTTTGTAGTATCTTATTAAGAATGGGACACAGAAAAACTGAAGAGTTACCTATAATTTTACCAAATTTGGCAAAAGTTTTTGGTGTCATAAGATACGTTACACTTATTTGAACTATAATTATACATTTTTTTATGTTTTTTAAGTAAATCATATAGGTACTTTTGTTGGGAACTTATAAGAAACTTCAAAATTAAAATGAAAAATTTTCGAATTCTAAGCAGTCTTATTTTTAATCAGATTCTTCAGTTGTTCTGTATCCCTTTCTCAATGAGACACCTTGTATATAAACTTCCCACTTGAACAATTTTATATTTTTCAAGTATGTACAATACAGGTGTATCAGAAATTAAAGCAAAAAGACAACTTATAATAAAGGTTTAAATTTAGTAATATCAAGTCATCCTTGCACCCTAAAAAAGTACCAATGAAGAAATTATTCCTCCAATGCAACCAAACAGTTATTTTTAGGATAAGATTTTGTATCAAATGTTATCCATAGCCACAGGGTTTCTTTTTAAATGGCATGACATTCAAAATTTTGGTAAAAACAATTTTCATCATGCACTTTTCTTGGAAATTCACAATGCTTTATTAGGATTAAAAACACCAGTTTCTAGAAACTTTTTCACTATAACACTAACATTACTGATCAGAAAAAGTGGTTAAAGTTTTCTTTTTGTAATCACAAATCGCAACTGAATGCCTATTTTTAAAATAAATTATCTCTATAATTCCATTTGTATAGTTGTATGCTGTGCATCTGTGAGATTGTTGTTTATTATACATAGGTACCAATTATAGAAATCTTTAGTAAGTACTTGCTTGCAATTTTAGTAATATATGTACCTACCCTATATAAATAATTATTTTAAACATAAATGAAACCAACAACTATTATCTGAGTCTTTTTAGTTCCGATTGGTTTTGACAGAGTAGTTTTGATCATGGTTTTCTTCCATCTACTTTTAACCATAAAGTCATAAGTAGCTGAATTTTTGGTCTTTTTAAACTTTTGACTGTTGCGGGTCATATTTTTAATGTATGTCATCTGCAGCAGAAAGACCTACATGTTTTACATTTAAAAGTAATTAATTGTCCTTTCTACAAACTTGGCTGTATTTTTACTAAAATATATTTATTCACAATTCACGTAGTGGTTTGGTTTTTGGTTTTGCAATTTGATGTTATAATTCTCCTCATTGTCAGATTTTGACATCTTTGATCAAGACAAGAGAGTCTTTGAACGAAAAATCGTAGTTCGCGTTTTAGTTTTAAAGCACAAAGAGATTAACAAATCTGATGCACAGTGTTATTCGAACGTTGATTTTCGATCACACAGGTCATATACCGCACGGTTTCGGCGAAGACAGAACAATATAATAATATTAATCTCTTTTATGGTCTTGGCATTGGCTTGGTCAAAAAACGGTTAATAAATAATAGTAAATAGTGTAATTGCGCAATGTCATCAAATTATAGTCCAATTAAATAACAAAAAAAAGCCTCTTCGAGCTTACATTAATTTGTAATTGGATGAAACAAAAAAGACCTTGTGTATTTTGATGTGATCTTTCCGAAAAAAAGAAAAAAAAGATGTAGCAGTTTTTCAATTTTTTTTTAATTAGGAAAAACCGGGTTTTCCAGAATTTTCCATTGTAAAAATGCTAATTATCTGGGCAAGTATCATTCCGATAGTGAAAATAAATGCACCATTCGAAAGAGGAGGCAAAAATAGTTCGGAAATTCATTGCACAGGTAGTTTTAGTGGCGAATTTCTCGCCGCCAGAAGTGCTTTTACCAAAAAGTCGTTTTTTCGTTTTTTTGATCAGAACCATGGACATGAAATTTGCGATGAATTTGTGGCGAAATTGTAAATGTTAGACATATGTGCCCTTGAGAGAAGTTGCGTATTTTTTTGTTGGCTCTCAAATAAAATTAGTCCCGCGGCGAAATCTGACATAATTTTTCGGGAATTCGCAGGAAACCAGAGGCGTAGTTTTTTTTTAATTTTTTTCCCATATGATTTTTTCCGTGTTTTCCGAAAACATCTGACAAAAAAAATATATTTGAAAAAAGTAATTTCGCCATCGAAAAGAGCACAAAAAAATACACAAATAGGTATACTTTAAAAATGTTAGGAAATTAATCCTAAGCCTGAGTGTAAGTTCCAACTTGGTGATAAGCTTGCTTTTTATTCGCTAATATCTGGTAATTCCATATTTTGCACAAAACTCAAGAAACGTCTTATAACAAGTCAGTAAAATACAATTTAATAAATTTTAAGCCTAATAAGTTTAGATATATAAGAAATTTAAAACTGGAAAACGCAAAAAAAATCAAATTACAGTAATGTAGTGTATACACGAGTTTTGGATCCCGCGGAGCGCGTGTAATGGGACTTTTGTCGGGAGAATTCTACAACTTAGAAGAAACATACACACTTTAAACTTTGTATACACATTTAGAAGACATGAAATTTGGGTTTGTTTAATTTTCAGACAAAGAAAACTAAAAATTGTCAATTTTAGGCATCTTTTCTCAAAAACCGTGTTTTTTGGTCGTCACTCAATGAACAGTGGTCAAAAAATTAGATAAAATATATTTGCAGAATTTTCCGTAATGTAATCGTATTCTAGACACAATAGAGTACTCAAAAAAAGAGTTTTGAGCCATTGGGTGCATTTTTGGCATTTTTGTGCCACTTCAAACTTTCGAAAAAAAAATTGTTTTTTTAAGTAAAAAAAATTATTTGTTTGATATCTTAGCCAATTATGGTCCGATGTCGGTGAAATTCACACACACATAAGATTTCACATTTAAGAGTAAGCTTTTTAAGTGGCATTAAAAAAATTCAAATAGTTTGGCCGTTATATTCAAACAGTGAAATTAGGACCGCGGTGCATTCTGCCCTTCCGCCATATGCCCAATTTTGGGATTTCTCTTGCCCCCTTCTGGGAATCACTAATCACATCCCTTAAGTTCAAAACGAATTTTTGTTATTTCAAATATCTTAATTTTTAACAATGTTGTAAAGAATTTAGTGTTTGAACATTTAACAAATTCAATTTTTCGACCTTCGTCGCCTCAAAATACTAAACAAATTTCAATCGTCCATACCGCGAGAACGGAGTGCATCGGATCAAAATTTCTCAAGAGACATAAAAATTAGCATTTTTCCCAAGCTTTCAAATGTCGTAAACTGGGTTTTAAAAATATTGATTTATTTCCGACATGCGCCTGCGCAAAATTGAAAAACTGACAATATCCAAAATTTCAGCACTTTCGAAAAACTGCTACATTTTGTTTTGCCTTTTTTCGAAAAGATCACCTCAAAATACATAGAATCAATTTTGTTTCATCTAATTACAATTTAATGTAAGCTCAAAACCCGTAATTTAATTCGATTAATTAATTTCGAATCGATCATGTTGAAACAAATCTTAGGTAAGTAAGTCATTTAAAAGTTGTAATTCTGCATACGGACTTTAATTATATTTGAATACGACCCTGCTTAGTCAACCATTTAAGCCACGCCCAGTGGGGTCATTTTTAATAAAACGTATCATATGCAAAACAATTGCCTTATGGCATCTCCATTAGTATTATACCTCCATGGGTCCGACACGCCCAACATAGTGCGCGGCCATTTTGATTCCTATGCCACAGTTTATAGCTAAAGAATCAGATCACTCACTCTGCGTCGGCACTTTTGATCACAATGTTCCAGTTTATACACTGAGCAACTCGGATAATACAATATATGACAACCGCCTATAATAAAACAGCAGTCTTCTGCGTATCCTGAATTTGTATCCCTGGAGTGGATGTTATTTTGGAACTTTCAACTGATCCGAGTGAGCTAACTGATTCTTTAGCAATAAACTGTGACTCCAAAAATAATATTCACTGACACTGACAGCAGCAAGCAAAATATCAGGTGCGTTTTAATTATCCGCTTCTGCTTCCGGAATTGTCTGTTTAGTCGTTTTAACCTGTCAGATTAAAACAAGAAAACCGACAATTCCGAAGTAGAAGCGGATGATTAAAACGCACCTATTTAAAATATTGCGATGTAGGCAACACGTAATAAGGGATCAAAATGGCGGAGTTTTCTATCTCCTTTTAAAAGGCACTCAGAAAGCTGCGCAGTCCGACCATTCTCCGTATAGTAAAAGAAAATCAAAGTATGTGTAAATATCACACAAAAAACAAATAAAAACACGAAAAAACTTGATCGTACCAATCACATTAATGAAATCAAAGCAATACGACATTTATTTGTCATAAGTGTCGCATCAATATGACAAACTGATGCCGTTTTTGACCACGTGATCGCGTCTCCCTATTAATATGTAAATGATATCCTATCGACTTCACAAGCATTCAACATAAATATGTATTATTGGTTTTTCTTAAAATTTATTTAATGTCGAATTTTCAAGCTGTTTTCGGCCTATGCTGATCTACTACATAGGCAACCAGTATTACAATAACACTAAAAATCGATTTTTAACCGTTATTGTATTAAATAATTTTGAATTTAAAAAAACAAACTACTTATTCATATTAAAATATTTATTACATTTTGATCCACACAAGAACCTTCAACAATACCAGCTACAAAATTCCATTTTCCGCTCTAACAATTTTCCCTTTTTCGGAATTTTCACGTTTCAAGTATGATCCGGGTTAATCCACGTGCCGTATATCCTCATATTTCCCCAAATCCTCAAAGTGAGAAAATAGAGAATCTCCAAAAATGATAAAATCGAAAAACCCGTAAATAATCCCAGCAGACCTCCGAAGTTGGAAATAACGTCCGACAAACCGTAGATCTCGTTCCTTTCTTTCGTTTCCACGTGGTCGTTCTTGAAGTAGAGGGTTAGCACCGTATACGCGTTGCTGAAAAGAAAGGAAAAAACAATAAGTCGGATTAATATACCGGTTGTCACGTTGTCTACATATCCTAAGGAATCATCTCTTTTTAAGGAGGTCCTTTCGCCACCAATGTTAAATAAAAAATATTAGATTATGACTAAAATTAATTTTTTTCTAATAGTAGCTGTCCTTATTCATCTAATAGTGAACTTTTGACTATGTTATGTTGATAATGGGGTGTTAATACACTGCGACCTAAAAGATCTATTGTGCCCCCTTCTGTCGCCACTGCACTAAGGAAATGTCTCAATGCCTACAGCGACCCTTCCAATCCTATTTTCTCAAGGAAGTGTAGGATTTGAAGTGGCTTCAAGTTAGGTAAGTCTCCCTCTTCTATTTGATATCCTCCTAGATATAGTGCCCTTGGATTCTGGAGTGCTACACATTCAGGATGTGAATGGAGGTTTCGTCCTCCTCCTCACAGAATCTGCACTCACTATCCTCTACTACTCTCAGTTTACTTAGGTGTCCTTTTAGTCGGCAGTGCCCGGTAAGGATCCCTGTTACAATACGTAGCCTGTTCTTGCTCAGGCAGATGCAGGCTTCCGATCTTTTTTGGTTATATTCACCCAGAAGTATCTTGGCCTGTCTCAGCCCCAAGAGATTGTTCCAATTATCGGTTCTTCTACTACCCAATTCTTTTTTAATCTCTTCTAATATTATGTTACTGCTGCTACCGCAGAACGGCTCAGGTCCTACAAAGGGTGTTTGAGCCCCTTTCCTTGCAAGACTATCTGCAATCTCGTTACCCTGTACCCCGTTATGTCCCGGGACCCAAGTGAGAGTAACTCTATTTTTCTCGCCTAGCTCATTCAATTGTTCTAGGCATCTCCATACCATTTTTGAGCTGATTACGTAAGAACTCAGCGCTTTGATGGCTGCTTGACTATCGGACATGATGATAATCTCTTGTCTATGATAGTTTCTCTCGATGTTAAACTGGATACACTTCTCGATGGCGTGAATTTCCGCCTGGAAGATGCTTGGGTATTTTCCCAAGCTTTCGGAGTGCTTGGTTCTCGGCCCATACACTCCTATTCCAGTTCCTTCTATGGTTTTGGAACCGTCCGTGTACCACTGAATAGCACGTCTTTCGGTTGCAAGCGCGATGGATTCTTGGCTCCATTCTTTCTTGCAGCCCAGCTATGTGGTTTTGAAGTTTTTCACAAAACTGTACTTCTTTTGCATTTCATCCTGGGGCATGTCCCAGGTATCTTTAGTCCTGAAGCAAGTAGACTTTCGTCTGATTACTCCGCTCCTGATCATTCTATATCGTGTCCTTTTTGCCACAAATGTAGAGGGGTGAGGTTTAAGATCACCTCCATTGCGGCCGTAGGACAGGTTCTCATTGCACCAGTAATGCAAACACAGGCTAGTCTTTGTACTTTTGAGATATTAGCTCTCGTAGTAACTAAACTAGTTCTGTTACTCCAGGCTATAGCCCCGTAAGTGATGATTGGTCTCACTATTGCAGTATACATCCATCGCAGTATGTTTGGGTTACATCCCCATCGTTTACCCGCCATGTTTCTGCATACCATTAGGGCTTTTGTGGCCTTATTTACTACTTCCTTCTCATGTGTGTTCCAGAGAAGTTTGTTGTCCAGGGTTAGGCCTAGATATTTGACTTCATTTTTCCATTCTATATCTATCCCGTCTAATTTAACGGTTTTGAGATTAAGTTTTCTTTTCCTTGAAAAGGCTACTAGTGTTGTTTTTGTAGGGTTTATACTAAGTCCCACTTCACGGCACCATCTTTTGGTATGTTCTAGTCCTCTTTGGACTATATCACACAGGATATTACTAAACTTGCCACTAGCAAATATGACTATGTCGTCGGCATAACCTTGACAGGGTATGCCGAGGTCAGTCAATCTGCATAGAAGTTCGTCTACGATTAGGCTCCACATTAGTGGGGATAGAACTCCTCCTTGTGGACATCCTTTGGTTGTGCAGATGGAGATGGTGTCCTGCCCTATCTGTGTCTCTGCAGTTCTCGAAGATAACAGCTGAGCCATCCATCTGGATGTGATGTTATCTACTCCTCTGTATGCAAGTGCTCTTTTTACAGATTCGTGTGGCGTGTTGTCAAAAGCTCCTTCTATGTCTAGAAAGGCACACACGACCGTTTCTTTGTTTGTCAGTGCATCCTGGATTACATCAGTCTACTGTACCAGGGCAGTTTCTGTAGATCTTCCTGCTCGGTACGCGTGTTGGCTGTGGTGGAGTGGCACCCTCTCCAGGACTTCTGTTCTGATATAGTTATCAACAGCCTTCTCCATTGTTTTTAATACAAAGGATGTGAGGCTGATGGGACGGAAAGATTTAGGATGTGTGGTATCCTTTTTCCCTACTTTTGGAATAAAGGTGACTCTGACCCTTCTCCATGCTTCTGGTATATATCCCAGCTCCAGACTGCTCCGGGATAGCCGGATTATGTATGATAGTAATTCCTCCTGTGCCTGCTGAAGCAGGGCAGGAAATATTCCATCCACACCTGGAGACTTAAACGGTTTAAAAGTGTTTACGGCCCACCTTAACCGATTTCTGCTGCATATATGTTTGGCCACTACAGCGGCCTCTCTTGGGGGTCTGCTTACCTTAGTTGTGTCCCTTATTAGAAAAGGTGTGCTTCCAGGAAAGTGAGTTTCAAGTAAGAGGCGAGCTCTTTCCTCCTCACTCTCCGTGAAGCTTCCATTTGGTTTCTTTAATGCCATAACTGTATCAACTCTCCCTTGTGCCAGAACCCTGTGCAGTCTCGCTGCCTCAGGTGTAGAGTTAATTTCCTCGCAGAATTTTCTAAAGCTGTTACGTTTAGCTTTAACTTTTGACTATACCTTACCGTGCAAATTTTTGAGAAAAATTTTTTTTAAAAATGTGTGTGTTTGTACAGTGTCTTATGAGAAAGTAAGACTTCAACAACAATTTTCGAATTATAATTAATTTTACTATTATTTATTGATTAGATGGAGTAGAAAAAAACTAAAAATAAAGTTTTTGAAATATTTAGGTTTTGTTTTTTACAATAAAATATATAGGTTACCGTGGAATTTATTGAGAAATTATTATTAAAAAATCACAAAAAATTTTCAACTGGGTTACTTGAAAATTTTTTGTGATTTTTTAATATTAATTTCTCAATAAGTTCCACGGTTTACTATATATATTTTATTGTATAAAACAAAATCTAAATATTTCAAAAACCTTATTTTTAGTTTTTTTCTACTCCATCTAATCAATAAATAATAGTATAATTCGAGAATTGTTGTTGAGGACTTACTTTCTCGTGAGGCACTGTACAAATACTCACATTTTAAAAAAAAATTCTCAAAAATTTGCAAGGTAAGGTATAGTTAAAAGTTCAGTATTAGATAAATAAGGACTTCAACTATTAGAAAAAAATTAATTTTAGTCATAATCTAATAACTTTTTTTTAACATTTGAGGCGAGAGGTGTGGCGAAAGGACCTCCTTAAAACGTTTATATATACCAGAATAAAATATGCGCGATATCAAAGAATTATTTATTTATTATTAATTATTTGTTGTCAAAATTTATTAAATTCTTTGTCAAAATCTTTACATAAACAAAGAGGATGCGTTAAATAAATATACACAGCCTAATCGGTTCGATAACGTAGTTATCTCATGGGCTTACGTTTACTAATTTTTTGGTTAAAAGACAAGCGGCTTCGAATCCTACAGCAGACCATGTAAATTTTTAATTAATTTGCATGGTTCAATATAGGATTTGATGTGTGCCGTATTAATAGAAATTCAATTTCTGTTGATGTTTCAAAACCGTTTGAAACATATCAAAGACGATCCTGTCCTCGCGAATCCAGATGTTTATTATGTAAATAAATATCTACAATAATCGCGTTCGCCAAGCTGCATCAGCGCAAAACCTCTCAAGGTCAACTAGTTTCGGACACGTAGACATGTATCTCTTTCTTTGAACCGCACAAAACATCAGACGAGTCTGTACTTTGCTAGAAGTCAGACGGGTTCTCATTAAAAACATAATGACAGTTTTTCTGTTATATAAATTATCTAAGTTCTTTGAGGAAATATGATAATAATAAATAAAATGTAAACTAATGCAGTGTTAAGCATTTAGGTAGTTTTAAAAAAAAAAGTTTAGTGTAAATATGTACAAATTTAAAAGTTGACGTGCCGCGTTTTTGCACAATAAATTGATTTTTACAAAGTTGTTGGAATTTCATAATCCATATGGAGATGATTGCAGCTAGGACGGAAAGCGAGACTTATGGTCGTATAATTTATGTTGGGTTCAAATTTTAATAACCTACAAATCCAACAGTAGATATTACTTCCAGATTATAAATCGCCATGCGTTACCGTTTGGATGATGGTGGTTGAGGTTTTCCTAGTTTTTCTCATCTTTAAGTCACCCCGGAGCGCCATGGCAAATAATAATAGCCATCCTTTCCCCACAAAAGCCTCAGTCGGCTTCAGGGGTTAAAATTCATTCGTAAGGGGGTGAATTAGGGAGAGTAGGTATTATTATTACATTAATAGAATTGTTTACTTTGATCATTATGTTTAATACGCAAAATAGCCCCTACTTTTAAAGCTTATTTTTTATTTTTAATGAAAATAAAAATATGGACATGTAGGTAAAGGTTAAATATGTATTTTGGAGTTCTACAATTTTTGATATAGTTTATTCCTAAAAATATTGAGAAAATCATTATAAAATAATAATTTAAATTTTGGAAAACTGACTGCATTTATAACATTTAACCTTGTGACGAAGTCACTAAATTATTCAATAATTTAATTATAAAATATTTAGTTTAAATTAATTTCCACCTGATTACATTCTCAAAAACCCACGTACTTTTATTTCCTAGAAATTCCCGTTTTTTGAACATTTGCGAGAGCCCCCGTATTTTAAAATATTTCATTATTTACTGAAATTCGAGTCTAGCTTTAAACGTT